TCCTCTACATTGTGCAGTTTGGGCTTAGCCATTTAAAAACAGTAGAATCAAGTTTGGCCACCACCCAGATAACACAGCCAATTACTGAAATTATCAGAGGGTCATGGGGGAAGTATTTGTCACTGTATTGAATATGCTTTCCTGCTAATTTGTATGCCTTCAGAGCAGAATAATTATGATCTAAAACAAAATAACTCTTAACATTCAAAATCAACAAATGCTTTGGCCTTTCAACCCTTCCCTCCAAAATATGCTTATTTTACTAAAAGTTAATCTATAAACCCCTTTACCTATTTCTAATGCCAAAACCAAACAACATAATCTGTGCAAAGTATCCTTTATATTGTGCACTGTATTATGCTGTGCACTTCACTGTATTGAATATCCTTTCCTGCTAGTTTGTGTGTTTTTAGAGCAGAATAATTCTTGACATTTGCTCAGTTCTCTCCTTATGTTTTTTTATGCTCGTGGATCAAAAGTGAAAAAGTTCAGAAGAAAAATTAAATATCTGTTGGATTACTCATTCATGGATCTGTTAAATGTGTACTTACTATTTAGCTGTATTTCTGCAAGAGTAAACGTTGGCTCTCATTTAAGTCAGCAGTTTCTGATTTTAAGCCTTGCTTCAGAAGTGAGTACATAATCTGGTCTCACGGTTGAGCGCAAACGTTGGAATGAGGCTTTAAAATCGAGGTTCTGCCTGACTCCCTCAAATCAAAATAAAAGATATTATGACACGATGTAAATAGTTATCCTGCAACCCACACTTCTGCAACAGATTATCAAATGGGATTTTGCTGTATCTATCTTCACCGTGAACCCCTCAATCACCAGAAATGTTATCTATCCCATCCTATCCCTTTATAGTTTTAAGCACCGAACAACTTGTCTTGTAATCTCTACTATTCCAGTGAAAACAGACTGATACTCATCTTCATGTTTGTTGTTTCTCAGAATGGACTGCATCTTAGGAATCAGTGCCATGGTCTCCATTGCTTCAACATTTTTCATTCTGTTTGCAGACGAAACATCATAGAAACCATAGAAATGATGCAGTTCAGAATGGAACCATTTGGCCCATCTTCACCATGCCGAGCATGGACCAATCCAAACACTACACCAACTGTACTCTAGTTAAAATATGTATTCATGGCCTTAAACTGTTGGAGTATTTTCATGCCTTAGGAACATGGGAACAAGAATAGGCCATTCAACCCTTTGGGCCTGCACTGCCATTCATTTAGGTCTAGGCTGACTTTCTATCTCATTGCCACTTTTCCGCATTATCTCAATCTCTTTTAATGTCAATAGTCTCCAAAACCCTTTTTGGTTTCTGTCTTGAACATGTTTAATGATTGAGCGTCCACAGCTCTCCATGATGGAGAATTACAAATATTCACCAAGTAAGAAATTCCTCCTCGACTCTGTTTTAGTTGGCATACCTTTTATCCTAAGATTATGTCTCCTGGTTCAATAGTCACTAGCCTGAGGAAGCTGACATTATATGTTATCTGATACTCATTTTGTTATTTTTATTATCTCTTCAGTAACCCCTCCTGCAGAAGTTCATTCCTATTTTAGATTAATCCTCACAATTAAAAACCACTCCATCTAGCCCTTTGTCTAAATTATTTACGTTGTCATGAACAGATGTGATTCAGAACTGATCCTATTTCTAACCACCTTGAGAAATTGTTTCCTAACAGACGTTCCCTATCTCCTTTCTTCCAAACAAATTTTAATCCAATTGCATACTTATCAATCTTCTTCAATTACATGTGTTTCCTTGTCAAAGGTTTTCTGAAAGTCCATTCCCCTATACCTCTTCTAAAAATCCTGTTAGGTTTATCAAGCAAGTCTGTCCTGTCTGAAATCTGTGGTGATAGGTTCCAGTTTTCTTTTCATCTTAATTAAACATTGCATTTCTTGATTCTCTGCTGCTGATTGACCTTAAAATTACTGGCCTGCCACCGTCTCTGGAAAAAAGCCCCTTTATTCTCACTCGATTGCTAACCCCACTATTGCTCCCACACTGTCCCTGGCACCCCCCCCCCCCCCCCCCCCCCCCCCATATTCTATTTCAGTTTGTTTTTCATAGACTTGTGTAATATCAGGGCAAGTAATCTCACAAAGCATGTTTAGTTTGTTTGACTGGTGAAGTGGGAGGGACAAATGCCACATGTTAAAACAGATTTAGAGCTTACACTATAAGTAGCTGCTTGTTAGGCTAGCATCAAGTATTTGAAGCTCATCTCAACAGTAAGATGTATTTTATATAGGGTTTTGAGTAATCTATTAAACTATGCATTGCTTCACTTTAAGAAGAAAGTGAAAAGGATCTTTCAAAGTGCTCAGCAAAAGTATATTCCAATGAAAAGGAAGGACTGTAAGAAAAGGGGTAATCTGCCATGGGTATCTAAAGAAATAAGGGAGGCTATCAAATTGAAAGAGAAGGCATACAAAGTGGCCAAAAACAGCATGAAACTAGAAGATTGGCAAAACTTTAAAGGTCAACAGAAAGCCACAAAAAGAGCTATAAGGAAAAGTAAGATAGAACATGAGAAAAAAACTAGCACAGAATATAAAGACAGATAGGAAAAGTTTCTATAAATATATAAAATGAAAAAGAGTGGCTAAAGTAAACATTGGCCCTTTAGAGCATGAGAAGGGGAATTTAGTTATGGGATATGATGAAATGGCCGAGGCATTGAACAGGTATTTTGTATCGGTCTTCACAGTGGAGGACACTAATAACGTGCCAGTAATAGACAAAGAGATGAAGGTAGGTGAGGACCTAGAAACAATCATAATTACGGAAGAGGTAGTGTTGGGCAAGCTAATGGAGCTAAGGATTGATAAGTCTCCTGGCCCTGATGGAGTGCATCCCAGGGTACTAAAAGAGATGGCGGGAGAAATAGCAGGTGCACTGGCGGGTAATTTTCCAAAATTCGCTGGACTCTGGGGCAGTCCCAGCAGATTGGAAAACAGCAAATGTGACGCCACTGTTTAAAAAGGGAAGTAGACAAAAGATGGGGAATTATAGACCGGTTAGCTTAACCTCTGTAGTGGGGAAGATGCTTCAGTCTATTATCAAGGAAGAAATAGCAAGGCATCTTGATAGAAATTGTCCCGTTGGGCAGACGCAGCATGGGTTCATGAAGGGCAGGTCATGCTTGACAAATCTTCTGGAATTCTATGAAGACATTACGAGCGAGGTGGACAATGGGGACCCAGTGGATGTGGTGTACCTAGACTTCCAAAAGGCCTTTGACAAGGTGCCCCACAAGAGGCTACTGCGTAAGATAAGGATGCATGGCATTAAGGGTAAAGTATTAGCATGGATAGAGGATTGGTTAACTAACAGGAAGCAAAGAGTGGGGATAAATGAGTGCTATTCTAGCTGGCAGTCAGTGACTAGTGGTGTGCCTCAGGGATTGGTGTTGGGACCACAATTATTTACAATTTATATAGATGATTTGGAGCTGGGGACCACATGTAGGGTGTCAAAGTTTGCAGATGACACTAAGATGAGTGGCAAAGCAAAGTGTGCAGAGGACTGTGAAACTTTGCAGAGGAACATAGATACATTGAGTGAGTGGGCAAAGGTCTGGCAGATGGAATACAATGTAAATAAATGTGAAGTCATACATTTTGGTAGGAGTAATAGTAAAAAGGATTATTACTTGAATGGTAAAAAGTTGCAGCATGCTGCTATGCAGAGGGACCTGGGTGTCCTTGTGCATGAATCACAGAAGGTAGGTCTGCAGGTACAACAAGTAATTAGGAAGGCAAATGGAATTTTGTCCTTCATTGCTAAAGGGATTGAAATTAAAAGCAGAGAGGTTATGTTGCAGCTGTACAAGGTGCTGGTGAGGCCACACCTGGAGTACTGTGTGCAGTTTTGGTCTCCTTACTTGAGAAAGG